TATCTATCTATCTATCTATCTATCTATCTATCTATCTATCTATCTATCCATCCATCCATCCATCCATCCATCCATCCATCCATCCATCCACCCACCCACCCACTCACTTTTCACAGAGTACTATCATTTTACCCAACTCTGTATCACAAATCTGCAGTTATGGGGATAACAGCATTCATAGAACCATACACTCTTAGGATTGGAAGGGGCCACGTATGCTATTAATGTGGGAGAAAGTTCTCCCAGGGTCAACTTGATATCATATCTGTACAGTGCCAAAATAAGAGATAGATGGAAACCAGGCTTCCTGCCCCAAAGAGAGGGCAGACTGGCACATTACACAGCTTGAATAGGATAAAGAGAAGAAATATACAAGCTTTGATACCTTTCAACCTTACATATAGGTTTTGCTTCTGATATACTGCAGTTGCTAGAATTATTTTGCAGGCTTCTCTTTTCTCTAATAAATTACTTAACAGGAGTTCCTGGATTTCTGTGTGCCTGTTTAGTTAGTTTTCAACTTAGCTTGCTGGGAAGAAGCCTAACAGTCAAGTGCAACCCACTGCTCAGTGCAGGAATCTAAATTAAAGCAACCCAAGGCAGATGGCTGTTTTGCCTTTGTCTGAACATATCCAGTGAAGAAGATCCCACCATCCCTCCAGGGACTGGTTCCACTGACAAAGTGCTCTTACTTGTTGGGAGGTTCTTGTAACATTCAATTGGAGTCTGCCTTCCTGTACTTGAAACCCATTCTTCTATGTCCTGCCCTTTGGAGTGTTAAAGAACACCCTTCTATGTGAAATTCTTCTATGTGAAATTCTTTCAGGCATTGAAGTGTTCTGTCATAACCCTCTTGAGTTTTCTCTTCTCAAGGTCCAGCTTCTTCAACTTCCTTCATGAAGATTATTCTCCACTCCTCTGAAACTTCTCTTAATCTTTTTCCAGTTTCTCTGAATTGTTAAAGTGTGATGCTCAGAAGTGGACCCTAGTAATAAAGTTATGTCTGCTCAAAGCATATTGATTTAACCTTTAATCTTTTTGTAAGGACTTCCAAGAATTCATGTAAAACACTTGGAGCACTTAAACAGTGCTATAAAAATATCAAATATTCTTTTACCGAGATACAATTATAAATCATTGTGATTATTGGTGGGACAGGAATCTGTAGAAAAACTACTATTGTTAGGGGACTGAAAAGAAGAAACAGTGAAACAGCTAATGAAAGAATTGAGGAGTACTTAAAATGGAATTAATGAATACATCTTACATTTTTCAGTCACACAAAGATTTTATTCAGTAACCTTAGGGATTAAAACATTTTGCCAAATCCAGTATGCAGGCAAAAAGATTAAAAGGTTATATTCATTATAATGGCATGCTCCTCCCAAGACTGAAGCTAACTCATACATTTCTCTTCACACTTTCAGAAATAGTCCATATCCCACAGAAAGCTATTAAATGTTTTACTCAATGGTACTTGTATTTCAGAACAACAAGGTTCAGATCTAAAGATGAAAAAATTCTGAAGTCATTAACTAAGGGAAAATATTCAATGAAGAAAACAACAACACCTTTTGATGCTTTAAAGCCAGGATCATTCCATCCTACCCTCACTTCCTCATTGCAATGGATGATCTAAAACATATCACCACCTAGGGATCAATTAAGCAGTGAAAACTCCAAATTAAATTAAATACATCACTGCAAAAAGCTGGGGTAAGATTTACTGATTTGAAAGTAACTTCTATTATCTTAAATGATCTTTGAACATCTATCAAGAACTTGAGAGTAGTTTCTTCTCTGAAAAACTTTTTTTTCTGGAATCAAAAGGTCATCAGCAGTTCTACTGAAAAGTAAAAAAGTTCTTCATGTCAAAGAATTGAAGGCAATCTTTTATAAATTTGGAAAACACTTCTTTCCGAACCAGAAACTTTCCTGTTAATACTGCAATAATGGGATAACTATGTTTCAATCATAACACTTTTTGGGAGATAATATTTTATATATTCCCAGGCTTTTGTGAAGGACTGTAGTATATGGATATATGGAGGTAGGGAAGTAAGGATTATGTCTATTCACTATTATATTGTTTAGAGTTGTGGTCTGTTCTGACCTATAGAACATGCAACCTTTACTAAAACATGTTTACATATAAAAATAAAGCTCTTCTATGTATTCATAAAATAACTATCAGTCCCCAAGCCAGACAACATTTTCCTGTACCTGCATGGACTAAAGTTCATCTTGATCTGTCTACAGCAATAATTCAAAGTTCTTCCCAAAACATTCCAGGAATTTCTTTCATCCTTTCCATCAGTCTTATCCATTGTCTTCCCCTTCTTCTGTTCCCTTACCCTTGCCAAGCATGTTTTTTTTTCTCCCCCTAGTGCATCACATGTTCATGTCTCATGCCCAAAGTATGTGAGTTCCTGCCTGCTGGTTCCTGCCTCAAGTGAAACTACCCTGAGGCCATCCCTTCAGAAAGGCAATTTAGGCAGAGAAAACTGGAAGAATAGTATTCTAAAATTAACTTTTCTTTCAAAAAGTAATTAACAATAGGTTTAAGTTACCATTGCTACAAAAGTATATAGGCTACAGGTAACAAGCTGCTGGGAATCATAATCATACTAATTTCCATACTGAGGAAGGAAATAATGTAAAGTTTATTTATATAATATACGTTCATGTAAATTCCTGAAAAAAGGACATTTAGGGGTTGTTTTCCTGGGGTTTTCAATGGGTTTAAGGGTGAGGATGGAAACAGTTTTCTCCCCAGGCCTCCTGCTCCAATGTCTCATCAAAACCCAAGAAAAACCAAAAAGGGCCACAACTGACCTGAAAAATGGCAACTGTGGGACATTTTGAGTAGGAGTTTCAGGAGAATCACAGTGGCTTTTCACTGAAGAAAAATTGTCCCAGAGAAATTTGGCCCCTTTGCTGCTAAAATTCAGTGGTACCATTTTGGATGCTGGGAGCTGCGTGCAACCTGCAGGCCATGAGTTGTCTAGCATGATGCAAATCATGTTTCACAAACCTTTCGTGGTTGAATCATAAGCATACTCTTCTCCATATCAAGCCCATGAAACTGGAGCTGAGACTCAACAGCATACTGTGAAGAAATATGATTTTTAAAAAGTGTACAGATATAAACAACAGAAAAAAATCATTCTGTTATAAACAACAGAATGAATAAATTAGGCTCAGATTATGCAAAAGTCTGTGCACAAGAGTTTTACAGCAGATTAAGTGACTGGCATTTGCAGTTAAAAGGATGAAATAGTAGGCAGGGTGAAACCCCTGTCATTGTGAGTCAGAGTAGATAACACTGAGTGAGACAGGTAAATAATCTATCCTGGTATCAACCAGTTCCTTAGGTTCTAAAGATAAGGATAGTGGTAAGTTATGGTGCTGTAACCTAACATTGTTTAAAACAACATACTTCAGGGATACTAGACCTGGGCTCAAAAATCCAATTGACCACTAGATGGCAGCAAAGAGTATGCCTACCTAGGGGTTGTCCAGATTGTCTGTAACTCTCAAAGTTATGACCATTGCAGCACCCCCACGGCCATGTGATCAAAATTTGGGCACTTGGCAGCCCACCTATATTCATGACCACAGTGTGCACTTCAACTCCCCCCACCTGCCTATCTTCCCCCATTTCTACCCTTTTGGCCACCTTGCACTTTGCCACCACTGTTTACCCCACTGCTCTCAGCTGACCTTCACAGTCTTCTTCCTCCCACTGCTGATGAGACGTGCCCAGCTGAGGCAGCTGTTGGCCCTTGCAAGACTGCCTCATCAGCAGCAGGAAGAAGACGGCAAAGGTTGTCAGAGGGCGGCAGAGGTACTTGGCGGACTTCAGGGTAGACAAAAGGGCAGAGATCAGGGGGAGATAGATGGGTGGAGGGAGCTGAAATGGAGGCAAATGCAGCAGGGCAGGAGAAGCATGAGATCCTGGCCTAATGCCGGCACAGTCTTTACCTAATGACTGCAACCATGACGACAGGAATTGATGTTGCTAAGTGGTGTGGCCATATGATGGATGTTTCACCTAATGACCACTTTGTTTAGCGACAGAAATTCCAGTTCCAATTAGAGTTGTTAAGTGAGGACTACCAATACAGCTAGTAAAATTAGACAGACTTTGATTGCCAATCAATGAACCCACCACCAATTGTAATATTTTTTATCCTGTTTTGTTTACTTTATTTCTATTTTTTAAAGTGCTTCTATCTGTAACTCTGGTCTGTGACCATAACAAAAATTCTATTCTATTCTACCTGTAATGAATGGAGGGGCAGACATGCTGCTATATTATCTCCCTTTTAAAGTCTGGAGAATGATGCTCCAGCACATAAAAAAGAAAATATTAAGTCTGCAAAACTGGGCAGTGGTGATGGAGGGGTGAATAGTTTTAAGAGAAAAGCTGCTAATTTATCATAGCTGCAAGCATAGCAGAGTGGTGGACAATATGTAAAGTTTAGAAGAGGTCAAAAATGGCAAATGCTTTTGATGAGGAACAGCATGTCAAGGACAGCATTGCACAACCACCTGGGTCACTAAATTTCCTCTCGTTATGATTGGGATAAGGCAGGCCAATTACATGAGATGTAATCTACCTTGCCCATGTGTCTGCTTCATTCCCAAAGAGCCACTAGCTATGGCGGAATAGAAAGAGTTTTTTTTTCTTATGATTCCTTCCTACTTTGGGAAGAACAGCAGTATATAAATAAATAATCATTTTTACCACTTTTATGACTTCCTTTTGCAGACGGAGTTACAAGAAAGCATTAGGACTGGATACTTGTAGTTGGCATCCCATATTATCAGCAACTTTTTTTTGTTTGTAGTTATCAACTGCATTCCACACAGCATTGTAAATTTAATGGCCCTGTCACTGTATGAATGCTAAGTATACATGATAATATTTTCCTCAAACATAATATTACCTTGAAAAATGAAAGTTGTATTCTATGCAACTTATGAATGGCAAATAAATAGTTGCTGTTAAAAAAAAAATAATCCCAACTGGTCTGTATTATATCATATTAGAATTCTACTGGAGGGAATGTTATAACGTCTCATTGAACAAATTTCTCATCAATTTCTAAGCATTTGCTAAGTTTGAGGAAGTAGCAGTGAGTCACAAACCTGAAGATTAATGTGTTTAAATCCGTGATGCATAGACTATTGTCCTACTTTGTAGCACACAAATGATGTTTGACTTAGTAATCTAAAGCACCGTTGACAAGAATTGCTCTATCTGTCTGGGGATATAAAACTGTTAATGGTGTGAGCTTTGTATTGATTTGGTTTCATAAAGTAAAACAGCAACAAGAATTAATAAAACATTTACAACCTGTTGTTGATTTAGGCCAATAGCTTGCTCAGTATCTTTAAAAGACTAATCAATCAATGTGGCAATTCAATCTTTTCCTTCCATACAGTTTTTATTTGAACAACAACAACAAAAAAGACCAATCAGTAAAAATATGTCAGTGCCACAGTATTGTGACCAAATTGGGGTTTTTAATGTTTATTTTTTAAAATAAAAGCCTCAAATAAATAATCAGGTAAGATTACTGAGATTTTTTTGAAACATACAAAATTGTATAGCATAAATATGATGAAATATTAAATGCTTACATGATCAGAAGGAAATGCTTTTGCTTCCAAAAGGATTTTATGGCGATATGAGGTAGGCTTAAAAAATGTTAACTGTAAAAATAAAATAGTAGATTTATATTATCTAAAATGAAACATTTATTAACCAACTGAAAAGACAAAACAATTGATGTATAGAAGCTTCTCTTTATGTCACACAATCTGGCAATCAGATATCCAGATGTTGTACATATTTGCATATAGGCATTGAAGTTAATTAGCATCTTTCTCTATAGATTTTTTTTTACCGCAGTAGGAAATCAAATGACTTTAAGACGCTATAAGAATTCAAATGGAAAATAACATTCCTCTCAATTTGCTTACTCTGTTGTCAATTTGTAAATTCTGTCCTAAAATGGGAATTGGTAATTGGTAGCCTCCCAAATGTTACTGAATTCCAACCCTCATCTACTTTAACTAGCATTAACAAAGAAGAGGGTTAATGGGTATTGTAGTGTAACTACATCTGCTTATATGTTGCCTGCATATTTATCTCTAATAATAGAATTGTAAAAACAAAAAACAAAACAAAAACTCTTACAACATATAGGATGGAATAAAATCTATTATATTACAAAAGTTATTTGGAGAATAGATTAGAACTAGCTATTCCAAGCTATCATATGCTCTATATAAATATAGCATTTTTTTTTTTCAAAAAGCTTTTATGAAAAGATGAAGCGCTGGATAGAAATGTCACTATAATATTCTGTTGTGATCAATTTCTATACAGAAAGTGGCATGCGCGGTGTTCCTCAGAAGGTGCAAATAAAGTAGTTCTACTCTAACTATCCCTAAAAGATTGTGTGTCCCTTTCACTTCTGGACATTTGAAAGAAATAACTCCATAGTTTCTTGGCAAACAAGTCCCTGTGAATTGTAATAGCTTCTGAGGAACGTCAGGGTAACCATCAAAATGTCATTTTGGAAAGGCACATCGAAGCAAGAGCTGTGTATGATTTTAAACTCTGCCTTTCGGTGTCTGACAAGGGTCTGTGGATGTTATTTATAAGCCAACCTTTTCTATTTTATACTTTTTAAAAGTAAACACATGCACTAACCATAACTTTCCATTTGGTCCTAATTTGGTGCTGTGGTCTACAGCCAGATTTAACTTCAATCATATCAAAGGCTGTTCATTGTACTCTGAACCAAAATCAGAAGATGGGTCTAGAAACTAAAGCTTCCCCTCCTTCTCTGACTGATATGAGAAACAGACATGCTAAATTACAGAACAGAAAGTAACAGAACAGAAGAAAATTGCCGAGGGCCATGAGTCTCAGAGAAATAGGTTCAGCGCGTTTGGGCTAAGTTTTCAAAAATTAAAATACATAAGACTTATTTTTGGGCAGAGTAACATGACATTTAAGGCATACTTGCTCTTTCTGCAGAGATCAAGCTTGTCCTATTATAGACTTACATGAGCAGGAACTTTACTAATCTCCTCTATTATGCGATAGCCAATATCTAGCAAACCCTCAGACAGTGTTTGGATGTCCTGTAATAAGAAACTTACCAAATAAGAGGAGGATAAATGTGGGAGTTGGGCAGCTACTTTCTATTTTTAATTTTTTTTATTTTTAAGTATAAGACCCGCCCAGAGTCACTCTACAGTGAGATAGGCGGTAACAAATTTGAAATATAAATAAATCAATATAAATATGCTTGCATCTCTTGTTTTAGGACAGTTTCCAGCAAAGGGTTTATTGGCCCCATTTCAATACACTGTCATTAGCCCGATATATTGTTGCTGTGATCTGAAGGCATGCAATGAGTCATTTCATTCCATTCCATCACCATTATCACTCAAGTCAATCCTTACCATAGAGTTACGAAACCCCTTTTTGTTTTGTTTTGTATTGTTTTGTTTGTAGACCCAGGGTAGTTATTTTACTACACTACTCAGAATTGCTAAACCAAATACCAGGGGACAAATTTAATCCAGCTGGAGGTACCACATTGTGTTGGTGTCTCAACAGATGCACAAACAAATTCTGGACTAGATATTGCATAGTGTGATCTAACTAGACACTATGTAGGTTATTATGACTTACCATTAGGAGATGTAGATTAACTGTCAAACCATTCATTAACGCTACCTCTTCTTTATGAGCCCCTGAAAAGCAATTACACAGATGTTTCCTTTTTTCCTTTTGTCCTATGCAAGGTCTGTTCCAATGATGTTCAAATCCCCATAATATTGGCTTGCTGTCAATGTCTCTCTAATGACTGAAAGGTAAATATGTGTTTGATGTGTCACAATAGACCAATGAAATGGAAATGTTTCCCTGACTGGCTCAATACACTACTTTAACAGGAAAATATTTATTTTTTACCAGTCTAGTGTGGCAAATGAAGTAGATAATGAGGCAGCAACATTTCCTTTCTTGAAATCCATCTGTTGATTAGGTTTCACGATGAACATCTTGTTCAAATTCAGCAGGAATATGCTTTTGTCAGAAAATATCTTTTCCATATAAAGATTTACAGGTAGTCCTCAACCTATGAGCATTTGTTCAGTGACCGTTCAAAGTTACAATGGTGCTGAATGAATGCTAGTTACAACTGGTCCTTGGAATTCCAGCCATCCCAACAACCCTGCGGTCAGGTGATTGTGATCTGGCTGCTTGGCAACCAGTTTGCACTTACAACCAGTTGCAGTGCCCCACGATGACATGATTGCCATTTGCAACCTTCCCTGCTGGCTTCCCCAGAAAGTCAATGGGGAAGAGGCAGGGAAGGTTGCAAGTCACCAGAGTAAGTCTCCCTGAGCCCCTCTGCATTTGTGCCATGCCAGCCACTCGTGCAGCCTCTCGGCCAGCCTCCCCAACCTGCACCATGCCTCTCATGCACCCCCTTGCATCCTTGCACACCCTCCCCGACCCACACACCTCTTGCACACCCTCCCCAACCCCTGCCTCTGGTGCACCTCTTGCACCCTCCCTGACCCACCCTCATGCACTCTCACCATCCCTCTCCCACACCCTGGAGCACCCCGTCTCTCCCTTCCCCACCTGGCAGCAGCCACTTACCCGCCTGCCAGCCTGGGACTTGCAACTTCCTGCTGGCTTCCCCAGACTTTGGTTTATTTTGTTTTTATGTTTATTTATTCAGTTTATATGGTTGTGTAAAGCTGGCAGGAAGTTGCCTCGCCTAACAACTGTGGGATTTAGTTAACAATGGAATGGGGATGGCAGGGATTGCTGCCACTAAGTGATGTGGTCACACTTTACAACTGCGTCGCTTAGCAACAGAAATTCTGGTCCAAATTGCCATTTTAAGTCGAGGACTACCTGTAATTGTGTTAGAGGCAATAATCTTTTATTAAAATGACCACTGCAAAATGCACCCTAATAAAAATGAAGGCTTAAAAATTACTCAAAAGTTTATTACAGCAAATATAACACTCATTTATAACTGGTCCTCACCCATTAGAATCAGTCCAGAATTCTGACATTATTAAAAGCATAGTTTAATGGGTATCACAGCCATTATTAATGAATTTTTCCAACACACTATCAACAACATCCACTCCAATTTCTACTGTATTAGTAAATATGGTACGAGGAAAAGACAAGTAAATTCATATTAAAACGGGAAGGATGCAGACAAAGAAAAATTATCACTCATAATCTAGATGAAAATATACATGGTAATCAAAAAAGCTTTTTAAGAAACATCTCATTTTAGTCTGACTTGTTAAGCACATTTTTGAGGAGTGTCTTTCAAGGGAGAAAATAGGAAAAATTGAGGGTTGATGATAAAGATGGGATGTAGAAAGAGAAGAAACAGCAGACAATTTTAAAGCAAAAGAGCAAAGTGGAGAATTTAAACAATACTACAACTTCTCTGCTGTCCAACAGTGGAGTTTCCACATAGCTCCCCCAAATGCCGCCTTGTGAAGAGGTAAGAATGGCACCATTTTATTTTGCATTAATGAGGTATGTGATAAACCATTACGCAGAGCTGACCCAAACATTTTACTGTCTGAAGCAAATCTCTAAACCTGTATTTCAGTCAGATTACAATGAATATATGTTGCATAATTGATATTATGCAACATATACTGTATACCTATTGTTGCTCTGGGACCCTATGTGTGCATTTCTGATCCCACGGCAATTATCTCTCCCTCCTATTTCCAAAAGCAAAAGCAACCATCACATGACTCCTGAGCATCCTTATTAAACCAAATTGAGTTTAAGAAGCCTAGTATAGTTTCAGAACTACATACTGCATTATACTGTCTCAACGAAACAGCTCTTAGAAGGGGAAAAACTCCTTTGATTTCCCTTTTGTTCCTTCCAAAATACTTTTCAAAGGCAAACTATTACTTAGCTGTTGAACTCCTGTTGGTAAATGTGCTAGTTTCCGGGCCAGAAAGCAGCTTGCTCTGGCAATATATTTGCTGTTCCTCTAACACAGCTCAACTAATTGTCTCTCAACATTTGTGTTCTAGAAGGGCATATTCCAATTCAATGAACGCAGAGAACTATTTTCAAGATACTTGCCTTATCATCATCATCATCACCATCACCATCATCATCATCATCTGTCTTTAGGTGGCTTACAAGATAAAAATCACATACAAGGAAGCATAGCAAAACATTTTAAGAACCTAAGTTAAAATGATTACACAAACTTCCTCAAGAACCTTCAAAATAATAGAATTAGCCTGGGTTCCAAATGGAGCCCAGCCAAAGCAAAGAAATTCAGTCCAAGGAAATCATGAGTAAATAAACAAGTCTTTAGGGCTTTTTACAAAATTAGTAGCAATGAACACCAAAAGGTACAGCATTCCATAAGACCTGCAAAACAAACCTTGCAGTAAGTAATATCCCTAGTTAGTGTGGTATCTACTGCTATTTTCCTTTTTTACTGCATTTTCTTGTTCCATCAAGTATATTCTGCCTATGAAAGTAAAAAAACTTGAGATATTCTGCTACAACTTTATGAACCCAGTATGGATAAAGTACAAGCCCTGATCTTTTTATAATCTGACTGATTTTCTTTCAAAGTGTATCTGAAAAGTAAGTAGAACTACTTTTCTTTCACTTACAGTATAAAGCACAGTGGAGAAATAAATGGTTAATCTGAAGTTCACCTTTAGAAGTATGCCAATATCCTTATTGAATATGACATCACATTTTTCATGTGGGTCTCTTTTCAATGATATATTTATTAAAAGCTTTTTTTATCAGATTTCAGTGACAACAAAACAAAGTTTATGTATGCCCTAGGAAAATTGTTATGCTTCACAGTCTGCACTACATTTTGGAAATAATGTTTCTGTGATCCAATTAAGCTATTAAAATATTCAATGACAAGTGTCCAGTGGACAAAATAAAGTTTGTTCCCTCAGTATCATTATTCAGTACCACAAATCCTGGACAGTATAAATACCCAGATGTCCTTCCTATAAATCTTCTTTGTGAAGGAAAACATATACAGACACACACGCATACACACACAAAACAGGCTTTGGTCATTACTTCCACTGTAACTTTGGAAAGTATTCATTATATTGGTTTCATACAACTGTAGAAAATGAGCAACAGGATAATTTTACCACATCAGAAGATAATACTGCCAAGGTTATAATATATTAATAAAATACAGAAAGAAAAGGGGAAAAAAACACAAAAATGCTATTTTCTTCTTACATTGCTCAGCATATTAATTGAAGGTGGAAAGTGGCCTGAGAGGGTCCATGTCTTCAATGACCTTGAGTTTGTATTTCACAATATGTTTATTATTGCAGCCTACATTTAAAAGAAAATGTATGCTCATTTAATAAGCAAGGTATTATAGAGCTATAAACCTTTAAATTGCAAAAAGAAAAGCTATTTACTGCCTTTATTCTATTTCTGAAAAAAATCCCACGACACAATATTCACTTTTTGTTTTGCAGAACCAGCACCAGCAGTTCCTCCTCCTTTGTAGAATGTTAAGCATTAACAACACAACTACCTAAATTAGTTTATTTTTATATGACAAGCATATCAAAGAAACCAAATATATTTCTTTCCTTTCATGTAAATGTGCTGCATCTTATTGGAGAAAAATGAACATTTATTGAAAATATGACACTGAGTAGAGAATATTTTAATCAGGTTTTAACTTGTACTTGCATTTTTTTATTTTTACCTAAAGGCAAAATATCTGGTAATTATTCAGTTGAGATGGTTGATATCACAATTCAGAATTCTTGAAAAGGTAATTTGTTCCCATTGTGAAAATGGGAGAAAACAATAGTTTATTAACCTGCTGTAAAATCAGTAAAGTGAAATTTACCACAATAAAAGACTTGGAAGCTGAATGTTGAAGCCACTCTTTGGAATCTAATTGCGGGGGGGTGGGGGATGGAAAACAACCTGTACAAGAGGGGAAAAGATCACGGTAGCACCAACAGATCAGCAAATGTAATGGTCTCATGTCTGCAACAGTTAAGAAATACAGCCCCAAACTTAACAGTAAGTTAAAATATGATTCTCAAATCAAGAGATTAAAAATCTTGTAAAAAACCTGAGAGCCAGTTTGGTCTTGTGGTTAAGGCACCAGGCTAGAAAGCACGAGACGGTGAGTTCTCATCCCACCTTAGGCATGAAAGCCGGCTGGGTGACTTTGGGCCAGTCTCTCTCTCTCTCAGTAACAGGGCTGTTGTTGTGGGGAAAATAGGAGGAGGAAGGACTACTAGGTATATGAGTCATCTTGAGTTATTAATAAAAATAAGAAAGGTGGGATAAAAAAATGTAAAAAAAAAAAATGGGAGAAAGGACACTATGCAATTCACAGCCTGTATTGAAGCAGAAAACGATCTCAAGTGCTCTTTAGGAAACAAACACAATAAATAAAAATAATATAACTATCATTGATGATGATGATAATAAAATAATAAACTATTATGACAATAGTAATACACATGTCACTCCAAATTATAAAATTCCACTCATTCAAAGAAGCATGCACTGGAGAAATATATGACAGCTATATCTAGTATAGATTGAAGAAACTTTTTTTTTTACTTTTTTGCTTGAGAAGTGACATTATGTATTGTTGCAGAACTCAGATATAAATAAATAAATAAATAAATAAATAAATAAATATTCTTATTTTCCTGACCAAAGGAACAAGCAATGTGTAAAAAACAGATTTATTGGCTGTCTAGCAGATTTTATATTACATTTTCTTATGTTACATTCACAGCCAGTAATTGCTTTGTTTGTTGCTATGCTGCTCTCTGTGCTCTGATTTCCTCCCAGGCAGCACTGCTATTTTCTGGACCCCCCATTTGTCCTTATTTATAAAATGGACAGTGGAAACAAAACCTTTCTGAAGACCTTGTTGAAACCAGAATGGGTTGTTCTGCAGCAGTGAACTGTGTGAGGCACACACTTCCACAGAGATGGAGCAGCTCTGATCCTCTAGGTAGAACTCAGAGCAGGCAGCCCAAGAGGAGCTGGGAAAGGAAGACATTCAGCTTTGCATAATACAGCAGAGACAGCACTACAATGACTGGAGATTCTCATGGGTATCAATTATTGTGTAAGGGATGAGGAGGAGGAGGAGGATGGTGATGATGATGATGATGACGATGATGGGATTGGATGTAGGGATTTGCCTTCCCCATGCCCAGACCATTTATTTAGTGCTTTACTTATATATTCCATTTCTATCCCATCACAATCCAAACGACTCTCAGTGGCTTACACGATATACTGTAGAAATATTAAAACAGCCACAGGAAGTCTTAAAATACAGGAAACAATTTACTAAAACAAAATAACATAAAGCATAAAGGCCAGCCAAACCAAGATAAAAATAACAGTAAGAAATAACAATAAGGTAAAAATAAGGATAGAAACCAGCCTGATCTCTCCTGGGATTAGATATTTACTTTAGGCCAAACCACATCTTCTAAAATAAAAACTAACATGGCTGCAAAGTACACTGCACCTTTCCTCTTGTCTTAAATGCCCAATGCTAAAGCATGATTCATAGCTCAGGGACCAACCAACATTCAAAGTAACATCTCTTTTTTGATCAGTCCTCGGGAGATCCTTGGCTAACTCAGGACCTCCAGGAGAAGCACTGCCTGGAATGCCAGCATAGAAAGACAAAAAGCAAATCTGACTACGCACAGAATGCAAACTCATGTTCGGATCTATACCATGGTGAAAAATGCTTCTACTCTTCCAATCTTATTGCACCAGCAGATTGTCATCCAGACACTTTGCTTAAAGTTTCCCATTCACTATTACAGAAGGATGGGCAGGAAGAGCTGGTGTGACTTGTGTCATCATATTTCATAGGCAGAATCTGATAAGGTGCTTGAAGCAATGTCTTTTCAGGTTGTGGACTCCAATGGAATGGAAAGGGTGCACTATAGCATGAATTCTGTCACCTGTAGGCTTGATCCATAACTCTTTTGATGCCTTTGGGCTGCTAGGGGAAATGTGATGGGCTGGGCATGGGAAATGGTCAACACTTCTATGAGAGAAGAGTATTGCTTCTGAATTTAAAGGAGTCAATGGTGCTACCTGTTCTCAAGAAGCCTTCCTTGGACCTGATGGTTCTGAACAACTATTGCCATTTTAGGAAAGGTTGTTGAGAAGGTGGTGGAAACCCATCTATAGAGTGGCCTCAAAATGAATTTTGTGGACCACTTTCAGTCAGGACTCAGGCATGAGCATGGGATGTATATGGTACTGGCTAATCAGCACATGGATTTTCACTGCTGCCTGGATAGGGGAATACATCCCTCCTGGTCCCAACAGACATCCCACTGGTATTTAACACTATTGACCATGGTGTTCTCTTGTATTTCTTGTAACAGATGGGAATTGGGACACCGTGCTTGTGGTTCCACTTCTTCCTGAGCAGGCAGTTCCATCTAGTAGCAGTAGGGGAAGGGAAATCAGGCTGGTTGTGTGCTCACTTCTTTCTCCTTGATTGCTTAACATCTATATGAAACAATTGAGAGGTTATTCATTGGTTCAGTGTGAGATATGATGAATTTTAAATCTCTACAATAGGCTGAGCCAGAGAGGCTGTGAAAGTCCTGACCCAGTTCTTGGAGACTGTTGAGGTCTCTGAGACAAAATAGGCTGAAGCTGAATTCCAGTAAGATCGAGTTGCTGTTTGTGCAGAAGGATTTTCTGACAGCTCTCATGATAATGGCATTCTATGTGCAGGCATAGTCCCCTAGTTATATGAGGTCAATGGAGCAGGGGTTGACAAGCAAAGCTTCTCAGTTGTAGCCTATATACTTTGGAACAGCCTCCTTCTTGGACTCAGTTAGCATGCCCATTGATGGGTTTTTTTAAATTAATTAATTAATTAATATTTATTTATTTATTTATTATTAAATTTGTATGCCGCCCATCTCCCCCAATGGGTGACTCTGGGAGGCTGGTTTTGCAGAAATTGGTAAACAACTTTGTTCCAGAGGGCATTCAGGGATTGAAAATTGGCTGCCACCTGCACTTTTTGTTGTTGTTGCTGTTGTTGTTGTTGTTGTTGTTGTAATTATTATTTTTGTTTTAATATTTTATTTCTGTTGCTATATTTTTGTGTGTTTCTCTATGTAACCAGCCAAAAGCCCATGCAAATTACAGTGATATATGAATATACAAAATAAATACATCCACCCATTAAAGACATTCCTTGCTCTTTAGGAAAGAGTCTGGATGAGTGAATTCTACAGCAATTATAATATGTTTGAATCTATCGATAAATAGTAAGCACACAAATATACTTCCTTTCAGGAAGGCTGTCAATAACACGTGCATATAAAACACAGATTTGAAGGAGTGTGGTAGGCAACCAAAGTCTATCAAGGATGTTTCCATGATGCATTTAGAAGTACACAGTTTCTTCTATTTTTTCCAAGCCTCTAAATTATTGATATATCTGACAGCCAGTGACTTCCAAATGACTACCAAGAAATTTTTTTAAAAAAAACTATAACAAAGAAAAGAACATAGCACTCTTTTCTTTGTTGTAAGTATTTTTCCCAATACTGTTGAACAATTCTGTGAGTTACTATTTTACGGCAAACATGTAAATTATAGCCAAACCAACAGTGATGATACTGCTTACAGTTTAACTGGGCAGACTTGAAACAAAACAGAATCATATCTTTTTCTATTTGTTCAGGTAAGTCCATCTTATAATGTGTATAAAAGCATATTTATAGAAAAGTATAGAAAAAACATTCAGCTCTTATTCTGGAAAACAATGCACCCTTCAGTCTATCCATCATTTAACCAGGGCTTTCCTATGTAAACCCCAGAAGGAAGGTGAGTTCTGGAAGTTCAGCACTTAACTCAGAAAAACAGACATATCTGGATAAGACAGAGCAAGGTTGTATTGAGAAACATTCCAGCATATCTTGAAAGTACATCGTTTCTCTAAACTTAGATATGAAAGACCACTAACATTCTCATACAGAATTTAACTGACAAAGTGATAGACTTTATAATCAATATAACTATTATCTACATTCATAAGAATATGCTTTGGTAGGGATAATGCATTTTCATGTCACTCACAGTACAATAATTTATGCCTGGAACTGTTCAGTGCCATTCCTTCACCTGGAGAGTATATCCATTGCTTTTGTGACTAGCTTTAGAAACTGGTTGTGCACTTACAGTAGTATTGACTTCTGCAGGTAATGGTTTACACTCCCCAGATCCTTTCTTTGCCTTTAAATGATCTCTGAATCATTTTATTGATCATATTAACCCTAATTTTCATCATCTTCTGCCCTATTAATTCCTTGTAAGCATTTGGTTCTCTTGAAGCAATTAAAGACATTATCATGTAACAGACAACCATTGCTTTGTAAACAAAAGGAATGATAATTGATTCACTGTGACATGAAAATGCATTTGTAGGGGTGCCAAGTTTCCTTTAGAACAAGTAGTTTATGGCGATCCCAGAACCCACACTCCAATTAGTTTAGTGACATACATTTGCTCATATAGTGTTGTCTGCATTAAATCTTTGCACTTCACCATTTTAAAATACAGTGTTACTTCACATACATAGTGAGAAACAATCAGAGCAGAAAAAAGGCCAGAAACATTTAAGAAGAAAAGTTCCATGATACAAAGTTGGAGAAAAAATATTTAAAAATAGTCTTTTCTTACCCACAATCTCAGCCATAAGCTCGACAATGCACTCATCTCCCAAAGCCCAAGGACGTTTACCACTGAAATGACCATGGACACCTCTGAAAGAAAAGAACAGATGAAAATATATCCACATTCTTTAAGCCTAGTGTTAGCAAAGAGAATATAGCATACGTTGTACACATGGAATGATCATAACTACTATTACTACTACTGCTACTATTGTTGTTCGAAATGCAAAGGTGACAAATAATTTATCTACTGTTGTCTAATGGAGTTTTATATTGTATGTGGATTGTTTATAACCAGTCACCTTTCAGTATTACAAAAGGAGTCAAAGTAACTGCAGCAATGAAAAACCAGGAGCAGAAATAGCCACTGAGCCACAGAAAAAGGAAAGGAAGGGAAGGGAAGTTGGGTCTTATTTTCCAGGCATTCTTACTTCTCTCTTTGTCTCAATCTCACTGGCTCACATAAGGCATGAATGGAAGAGAATAAGCCAACGTTTTGTCTGCAAAATTACCAGCTGCCTATGTTACCTGGGCACAAGGTATACCTACAAGGTATAATAAAAATAGCATCATTTATTCTCTCCAATCCAATGACATGTTGGAAATGAAATATATAAAGGGGCTTGGGCCCCTGTCTATCAGCAGGATAGCTCTCCCAAAACAAAGACTAACTTTAGTGTGGCAGGAGAAGCTAGCAAAACAACAACACTGACACAATGGGAAACCACTTGGACCACCACTCAGAATGCCGCCAACTGCTCCATTCTAAATCCCCCTCCCTTCTCCTTGCCAATCATGCTGATTGCCCATGCTTCCCAAGACACACAAACATATACAGATGCAACATGAGAGGAGAGCAGAAACACACACACACACAGTGACAACACATATTCACCCATCTGATTACACTCTTTCTCTCTCACACATGCAGAGGCAATGTGCAAGCACTGACAGAGCACACACCAATACACATACGAACACACACAGACAAGATAAATGTATACCGGCACAGATGCAACACATTTCTTCAAGAAACAGAAGAAAATGCAGATGCTTCCTTGGATCACTACTGGTAAGGCAGCTGGAAAGACCATTGTGATTCAGGGTAGTCAAAAGCTTATCAGATAGCAAGCAAGATCTCTGGACAACCTTGCCTCCTGTAGAAGTACTCAGAATCAGAGATAGTGAATGCTTTCAAAAAATGAAATCCATACTTGGTAGTATGGACTTTAGAACCTGGGGATATAAATTGGGATTTATGTAATGAAGACTTACAGCACAAATAGGGCCATGTTTATTCAGATAAAAACGGCAGAAGTCAATCTAATGGATCTTTCACTTTTGGCATGGTGCTATATACAATCTAGACTCTAGAACCACTTTTTTCTGGTCTGAGTAGTATTTGGTTTTCAAGAAGTGATCTGTATTAAACAAAATAGTGTGATGCAGCAGGACAAAACTGAATATGATTTAATTTCCATTACATTTAATTCAATTAAAAATAAACATAGTTACCATCCTTGCCTTCTACTTTTGTATATAATATTTGAATCCTTTAGTCTTTGGGAGTTCTGTGGAGGCCATGCCCAAGGCAACTGTGGGGCCTCAGGTTTGCCACTCTGCTCCACAGCCTTGAATTCAGATCACTGATTTTGTACAAAGCATTGCAAAGCCTCAGTCTCTATTGGCAGAATCCAGAGATCATTTATAAAGCACAGAGGAATTGAGATTTTTTTCCCCCCTTAGGCAGCATTCTGACAAGAGTGATGGAAGAACAAACAGAGGATATATTTTATTAAGATCCACTGAGCCCTAAAGAATTCAGACTTTAAAAGACAGTAATAACAGGTAGTTAGAAATCTCAGACAGCCATATTTCTCCAACTTTTACCTTGATTTTTTTTCTTGATCAGAACTGATGGTCTCAATACCAGAAACATGCACAGATGACATACTTTCTGTGAAGTATTAGTGGAGGAGATTGACAGCCAAATCACACAATACAATATGGAATTTTAAGCTATGTTCAGCAATAGAATTAGCTACAGCTATTTCACATGAAGAACATAATTAAATCAACCTAGACTTCAGAAGGAGTCCAATCCCTCTGTTAAGATGTCTAAATCCACTGAAGTCAATATGTTCAGCCATGTGTAACTCTGCATAGGCTTAAACAGTTATTAGTATTATCAATAGTTAGAAGAGCATCTTTCAGAACACTATGAAATACCCTTGGTGTCTGAAATGTCAGGTTGTATCTGGTCAAAAGGATAAATATAGAAGGACCATCAAGAGAAACTAGCATGAAAACAGCTTGGCCAGTTGGGAGAACACAAAAGGCTAGAAACTGTGAAAAAAAAAATCACAGAAGATAAAAAATGATAGAATTCTAAATAAATGGCCACAATGGGAAATGGTGTTTTCTTACTGCATGTATGTGGGGAAACTTTAAAATAAAATGCTAATGTAGCAGGAGACTGAAGCCTGTACAAGAAAGGAGTAAATAACTTTGGGAGACATGGGCATACATGCTGCATAATCTCCCTACATGCACAGTTTGTTACAAAGATTTTTCGAGGTCTAGTATAAAGAGCTCAGAAGATAAGATGATGAATCCTGGTTTCTGCTAGTGCAGACACCTTTACAACTGCCTTTCAAATCTCTGCAATAAAAACAAGAATTTTGCAATGTTCCATTTACAAGAGACATTGGGGACAGGATGCAAATGTATGCATGTAACTCTATGTATGCAAAACTGAATGTCTAAATAATGTTTAATTGGGGTTGGCTAATACTGTTAAAAAGTTGTTAGAAATTATGTTTTCCCTGAAGTATTGTCATACTAAGCTTTTCCATAAATCTATATATGGCCAAATGATTGTTCCAGGAAGAACTGGGAGAAAAGCATCCACTAGACAAAAAGTCCTGGAGTTTTATTTTCTGGGTTGTTTTGTTTTCTTGAACATGTGAAATATTTTCCAGAAAAAGGAATAGACAAGAACTCAGCCTTCTCACACTTCTAACAAAATATGCAGCATTCTAAATAATTTCACAAGTTTGTATCTGGAGAAATATCAATTCAGAATTCTTCCCCCAAAAGTGGGCAAGTAGTTGAAACAAATATATCATAACCATCTGTTAATAGTCCCCATTTCTCCTTTTGGAAATCCGGGGCATAGGTTCATTCTAAAATATTCTGGTCAACAAGGGTGAGCAGTACTTTAGCTACCATTTTTTTCTAGGAAATGACCAGAATTAAGTTCTGAAAAAAGAGAGGTTTTCAGTGAGCTCCCGCAAGATATTGCTATATAAGTTACAAGAAAGAAAGTGGTTTGCTGCCTGGTTTCTACTGTTGCTGCTAAAATAGTGGTTGTGGCACAATTCCAATTTCCATGGCTTTTTTATGGCTTATCATGTATTCATGTAGTCATCCATGCAAAGACTCAAACTAAAGCTTCATGCAAGTTTGTGCTGGCTTTGCTGGTAAGGAGAATAGACCCCCAGTAGAGTTGGTAAGGCAAACAGAGAGTAGAGATAGTTTAGTTTTCACAGCAGAGAAAGTGGGGGCAGCAGATGGTTGGTTTTAAAGGTAGGGCCTAGGAAAAATATCATTAGAGAAGACTTTTGGAAGAGGATGGAAGGAGACCTGAAATGGAAGAAATGACTAGCAACGAAAATGGAGTCAAACGGTTTTAATAAGGAACAATGCTGATTGGGAAATGTGAGTTTGGGAAATGTTTGCACTGCTGAAGAGATGTCAGTTGCAGGACAATAACAGAGTAGTTTGCTGAAGAGTGTTGTTGGGCACGATCCAGAGAAACATGCTGAAGACAGAAGGGGAGAAGCCACCTTAAGGATGTGTCCAACCAACATGGAAGGCTCTTGGCAGAGCTGAAGACAGAAGATGAGGTGCTAGCCTGACTGAGAAAAAAGATGCCACTAACATCTTTTAGTTCTTCTTTAATTTCAAAATTAGAAAGTAAGTAGGGTTAGATATAGAACTGTGCACACACAAATTAAGCTCAAATTATTACCTGCAAATGTATATGCCTAGAGTTGATACACTGGGTGAAGAAGAAAAGTGCTCTCAACTTGCAATCTAAATGCCCTACGCTTTCGCCATATGGAAAATGTGGCATTGGTTAGGACAGCTCAGTCATAAAACATTTAGAAAGCCAAGGAATTTTGAGAAAGCTGGGAGGAGGTACTAGGAGGTGAGCATAGGCTCTGGTAAGCAAGGCCAATGTAAGATAAACCCCTAAATGTAATTTTCTAGAAAGAAAGCATACTCACAGAATACTGTCTTTGTTCTCTCAATAAAAACTGTTTTGTAGTTCTACCCGATTGCCTCATACAATCCACCCAACATCTGACCTCGCTAAACATATGATACGCTGCTGCATCCAATGAATTACTCTGCTGCATCTAAGCATACCCATAGGGTGGAATCCACAGTGAAGTGGAATGTAATTCATTCACTTGTTATTCATGAAGTATTCCAGCTTTTCACTCTAATGCTTTTTAATACAAGGGGAAAAAACTGATGTGGTGTCTTACACTGAATTTCTGTCAGATCTTTTAAGAACCCACAGGCCAATCCAGTCATAGTAGTAAAGAAAAGAAAAAAAAGAAAATCATGGGAAAATGTTCCTCCAAAAGAAGACAGGGAATTTTTCTGTGCTTCAAAGAGCACTTGGAATGATTTTCTCAATTTGCTTTGCACAGAAAAGTTGTTGATGTGAGTTGAGAGTTAAATTGAGCCAGACTTTAAGTGCAGAAATAAAATGTTATAGAAAAAGCAACATTCTCAGAAAGCAACACTTAATATGTGTGTGATTGTTCCTTTAGCTAATTCTAGTCCTCCCTTTTGCTTCAAAAAAATTTCCACTACAGTACTCTCCACCCACCATTAAACTTTTCTGATATTTTGTCTTCCCAACACAATCCCCCCTCCTTAGTTTCAGTGCCCTTTCTAACACCATTCCCCAAATTTCAAACTTAAAAAGAACACCACCACCACCTCGGAACATTGAACTTATCCTTAGCACTGCCTGATTTGTTCTCTAGATGATCATCCTGTATAGAAATGTG